CCTTTCTCTTGCTCTTCCCCTGCCTCTGCCTTCAGGGTCCTGAAGGCAAACCAGGGAAACAAGGCGAGAAGGGCCGGACTGGAGCCAAGGTAGGTCCCTCTGTCCTGCCAGGATGAGCCCACGTCCCTCCTCCCTTCCCCCAGCTCCTGCCCAGCTGTAGTGACAGCTTGTCTCTCCTCCTGCAGGGTGCCAAGGGCTACCAAGGACAGCTGGGTGAGATGGGCGTCCCTGGAGACCCCGGACCCCCTGGCACCCCAGGCCCTAAAGGGTCCCGGGGCAGCCTGGGACCAACGGTGAGGACTGTCTGGCTGGGGTGGGAGGGTCAGGCATGGCATGGAGGGGACCACGGACGGGCAGGAAGGGAGGTACCAGGTTCCTCTGTCTGGTGTCACCCATAGCTCTTGTAAGCTGGACCCCTGGTGCTCACTGTCCCTGCCCCATCATTTGAATCATGGGTTCCTTTGGGAACTTGCAGAAAACTACAAGCCTCCCTCTGAAAACATACACACAACATGAAATATTTATTGCAATTTAAAGGGATCTGCGGATCTCCTAAAGCCCTCTGTGGGCCCAGATAATCAGCCTGGCAGTTGGGGTGGGGAGAGGAGACAAGATCCTTGGGAGCATTTTTACCAAGCAAGGGGTTTTCCCCATGGAAATAGATTCATAAGGATCAGGGAGAACCCTGCAGGCACAAGGTGACCCAAGTGTCCCAGGACACTGCTGGGCTGCCCTGGAGGAGGGGCCCAGAGGGGTATGACAGCTGCAAGAGATGAGACCCCCAGGGGACACGGGAGGGGCAGAAGAGGGAGCTGCAGCCGGCCCAGCTGACAGTGGCAGCAGTAGCAGCTGAGCTGGTGCATGCTGCTCAGTGGTTTCCCAGGTGCCATGTGCCCACGCGGCTGGTTTCTACCTACTGAGGTCGCACCATGGGGTGGAGGTCAGGAGGAGCGTCGCAGGGGCGCACTGGTATCAAACACGTCCACCACATGGATGCAAAGGCGCAGATGCCCGCCGTGCATAGGAAATAGTAAAACAGGGCGATCAGGAAGGGATGAGTTTTAAGTGTCGTTTATCTTTGGTTTTAGTAAAATCAATTTAACCGTAAGTTCATACAACTAGTTCTAATAATGGCTCTGTTTAAATGGTTCTAAGTCCTGAAAATGTACTAATGGGCCATCACAAACCGCCGCAGCCAGGAGGAGCACAGGCTTGGGCCAAGGTGGGGAGTTCCAGGAAGGAGGGAAGTGCCGCTTGCTCTCCACCTCGTCCTCCTGCCTTGGGTCCCGGCAGTGTGGACACACCAGGCTGCTGGGCCAAGTGGGGCCGGCGCCTGGGGGAGAGACTTCCTGTGTCCCCACTGTGAGAGCCACACTCCATACCAATGAAGTCTCCTCCTCCCGTAGGGTGCTCCAGGACGGATGGGGGCCCAAGGAGAACCGGGACTGGCTGGTTACGATGTAAGCAGATGCTGCCTTAAGGATCTCTCTCTTCCCCACTTGTCTGGAGCTCTGTCCTGCAGGCTTCAGATCTGCCCCACCACCTCCCAGCTGAGAGCCGGTCCCTGGGCCGTGGAAGGTGTGGGCTCACGCCTGCCCCAGGGAGCTCTGGGCCTAGAGTCAGGTGGGGATCGGGAGCCATGACGGGATGGATTGGGGTAGGGCAGACGTTGCCATCAGTCCTCTAGAGCCCCCCAGGATATTTCCTGCTGTGGGGTACACGGGGCCTTCCCGTGACTCGTCCAGCAGTTTCCCAGCTGCTCTCTACTCTTTAGCAGGAGTAGAGCCCACTTTGCATTCAAGTTCGCACCCCCTTAGAGCCAGATGTGCCAACCCATGTTTCACATCCGGGAAGACCAGGGCTCAGGGAGGCATGAAGCTGGGTCACAAAGGGAAACTGAGGCTCCAAGGGGTCAAAAGGCATGTGCAAGGCCTGCCAGCTCATTAAGTTGGGAGGTGGACCCTAGTCCAGTCTTTGTGGATCTAGTTTCCATGTCTGAAAGAGACAGCAGGAAGGAGAGGAGAGGGTAACTGGAGAGAGGGTGCAGGAGCTCGTGGGAGGTGTCTGCCCAAAGTGGGCAAGCCGTTTGCCCTCACTCCTGTCCCTGCCCTGGAGGACAGACCTGGCTCTCCCAAGATCCTACCAGGTCTGTTGTGGAGTAAGGCAGGCAGGGTCCCCAGCCATCTGAGCTGGACCCCTCCTTAGAGGTGAACCTGGGACCCACACAGCGTGCTAGGGAGAGGCGTGGGACTTGCTCAGAGCCACGCAGTGAATGCGGGTGGCACTGGGACCCAGCTATGCAGTCCAGGGCCTCCATCTCAAGTTCTTGTCCTTTGCCGTGTCCCTCCTGTGTCCTCACTGCCCCATGCTCTCACCTCTCCATCTCGTTTTCCTGCAGGGACACAAAGGCATGGTGGGACCCCTCGGACCTCCTGGACCCAAAGGTGAAAAGGTGAGTGTTGGAAACCAGCAGTTAGCGTAATGGCTCTGTCGCTGGACTCCCTCGTAGTCGACCGCGGTTCGCGTCCCGGACCCGGTGGCTTACAACTCACACTGGGTGCGTGTGCGTGCGTGCCCAAGATCCCAAGAGGAGAATGGAGGAGAAGTGATTGCGGCGTGACCATCCC